CGTGCGTGCGTGCGTGCGTGCGTGCGTGGGTGTGTGTGTCTGTGCATGCGTGCGTGCGTGCGTGCGTCTGCGTGTGCGTGTGTGTGTATGTACGTGCGTGTGTTCGTTGTGCTGCGTTTATGTGTGCGTGTGTGCATGTAGGGGTGGATGAGTGCGTGTATATGTATATACATTTAAATATGGAGTGAAGTGATTATGGAAATGTAACGAAAATACACTGAGGTTTTGCTAACACGCAATAGCGACAAATAGGTCTGCAGTTCAAAGACAGGCATGCTTGCTGTACATGTGAATAGGTGCACTCCACGCTCGAACGCACGCACGCACGTTTAAATATGAAGTGAAGTGGTTATGACAATATAGAGCAACTGTACACTGAGGTTTTCGCAACAATCGATAGCGATAATACACTCACTAGTCTGCTGTGTCGCATAGCTGCATTAATATGGATTTGAGTTGCTATGTCCTTGTCAGTTGTGACAATAAATTGAACTATCACAGTAGCGAACGAGCATTACCAACAACAGAGTGAAATAGTAGCCATCACAATAACGGACAGCAAATTAAAATGTTACCACACACTATAGCGACAATAGAGTAGTAAATATAGTGAAAATAGTATACCGATCACTATGGCAACAAGACACTGATATAATTTCAATTCATGTGAAAACACAGATTCAGAACATCAGCTATGTGTGTAATCGAATAAACTTTGTTTACTAGGGATCTGAATTTTATTGACTAATTTCCCACATGTGTAGTGCACAGTTTTTGTTGTGCGGGGTGCTATTTTGTGTGGAGTTGAGGCACCGCGGTGTTATTCGTGTGATTGTGTTTTGGCAGACACAATGGCAACATCCTCCTTGATGCTGAGGGTCATATCATCCATATCGATTTCGGCTTCATTCTCTCGAGCTCGCCGAAGAATCTAGGATTTGAGAGCTCGCCTTTCAAATTGACGCCGGAATTTGTCGATGTACGTGCTGAATTAAGGGTAGAACTATTATAGACTTATTCGACTATAGTTGTTAAATTTTTGCTACGTGAACGCTGTATGAAAATAGGGTATGTTTTCTTCTTTGTTTCGTTTTTACCCGTAATTGTTCTTTTAATTGGTATTAAAAATTGCTATGTGGTGGTAATTAGAACTGTTATCTGAACAGAATGTTGCATTTTGCGCAGGTGATGGGCGGTCAGGGCAGTGACATGTTTGAGTACTACAAGATCCTGATGCTACAGGGTATGATGAGCGCACGAAAACACAGCGAAAAAGTGCTAAACGTCGTGGAAATCATGCAGACAGGTAAGGTAGTTGAGGAGTGACTGTGACTGTTTATACTCATTGCTGGGTGTACGTACAGTTTTGGACAGTGATTATAGTCAACTATTGAGTATGTTTCCCAGGTCAACAGGCAGGCTTTGCAAATAAAGAACACTTGTGAATTCTCACTAGTGTATTATATTTAAGGCCCGCAGACGCTGTAGATCAGATCAAGAGCGATAGCAATTGTCTTTAAATACAATGAAAATATCAACCAACAAATTTGTGATCATGATGCAAGTGGTCGTGTGCATTGTTGTTAACCTCTGGATTATCACCATCTTGAATATTAGCCTTTCAGCTAGTGTTCTTTCAAACTCCTTTTGGGTCTTGCATTCTAAATTTGTAGCTGCGATGCGTTGTAGTTCTCAAGCTCTCGTAGCAAGCGTCGACTTTTAATACAGGGAGGTTGTTTGTGCTAAATTTGTAGTTGCGTTGAATTGTAGTTCTCGAGTAATCTCTCGTAGCGAGCGTTGACTTTTAAATAAAGTGAGATTGTTTGCACGCGACATTGCAGGGTCGCAGCTGCCCTGCTTCAACCAGGGCGTGACCACCTTCCGCGCCCTGCGCGATCGCTTCCACATCAACCTGCCCGAGGAGAAGGTGCACACACTCATCGAGCAGATGGTCGAGTCGAGCATGCACTCGATCACGACGCGACTCTACGACGGCTTTCAGTACTTCACCAACGGCATTCTCTAGTGCGCGCCGCAGAGACGATGCATGCCGATGATGATCGTAGTGGGCATTCGAAGAGTGTCTAGCGTACGCAAGAAGGTATTGTCTCTAGGGCGCGGCAAAAGAGAATGTCTTGAGTGTGTACCGAAGGTTACCCTCTAGCACACGCAGGAAGAAAATGTTTCTCGTGCTTACAGAACAAGATAGTGTCTGTACATGTACTAGGCATGCCCCCGAACATAATGCCTCTAATGAGTACCGAAGGAGATTATCTCACGGGGAAGATGTTTCTCGTGCTTACCGAACAAGATATTATCTATGGTGTGCACCTGAACATAATGTCTGCAGTCGCACCGATCAAATTAGTAACTGGTGTGCACTGTAAGGTAGCATTTCGAGAAGATTGTACCTTTAGTGCATGCCAGAAGATAGTATCTGAAATGCAAACCTAAAGATAGTATCGGTAGTGCGCGCCAGAAGATGATATCTCCAGTGCACACTGAATATAATAGCCCCTCTATTGTGTACGGTTTGCATTTTAAGAGAGTCTTTGCAACCATCGTGGGCATTTAACCAGGGGCCCATTGTCAAAAACTATGAAATAGTTACGACTATCATGAGTTTTCAGAGGTTGTTGACATTTTAGACTCAAATGACGATGTCAAAGCTACTTGAGACGTGGTTGACAACGAGCCTGTGACTACGTTCTGTTAGGTGTCTGACGAGCTACCCCACATCTCAGTTTGCAGTAAATATTCAGACCTTGTTTTCAGTTTCCAATATATATCTACTTCTAAGGCGAGTTAAAAAGCAAGTGGCTTAAGACTCCGCATAAAAATCAAAGCCAAAAAGAAACCAAACCAACGTCCACTTGAACAGCAGTACAAGAGTTGGGAGTAATTTTACTTTAAGATGAATCCAAATGTAATTGACCTGTTAACGGCAATTTCGACAACACAACTAATCTAGCTGTCTTTGTCAAGCTCAATGAAGTTGCTTGAGAGAAACGGCTAGGTCAGTCCTCGAAACTCGCTTATGTGAGTTTGAGTTAATCTTAAAATAAAGTTACTCTGAACATCAGTCTGTAATCCGATGAACTTCTTCCAAGAGCCGTACAAGAGGTTTACACAATAAGTGCATTCTATCTAAGCACACTCTGATTTTTTGCCCATGATGAATGCAATATAGCAGTCGATCATATCAGTGGCCATGCGAGAGAGTACACAACGGTATTGACTGGTGAATAGCAGCATTTGTCGCTGCGCATGTAAAATAGCTTCACCAGTAATATTGTATAGCAAACGTGTATGCACGATGAGATATTGCAATAGCCGTGTTACTAGCAATTGTATTGACACAGAAGATTGCACTTGGCTAAAAAGGTTGCAGGTATTTGAGGCTGCAGGAAAAAACGGAATATGTATGTTGCCATACATAAACACGTAATGTTGCAGCTTGTGTACAAAAGAGGGTGTTGCCACGTTCAAATATGTCAACGAAGGCAGTTGCTTCCCATCAATGAAAAAAACAATGAAATTGCTGGTGTTGATTTGGTATGCTGTGTATAAAATTTGCTAAGGTTTCCAAATATCAAAAAGTGATATCACTTTCAGGAGCACGCTGCATGAATGCAAACACAATGCATAAATTTGGAAAGTATTGTATATAGTTATTATTATTACATTGTTATAAATTTATTTTTGTTTAATGATGGTTTGGGAGGAACGCGACATAGTGACCATATTGTAGTAAATGTGTAGAAAGGGTTGTGATTGCAACCGTTTGGTATCTGATAATCATTAACAATTTCAACGGGTCAACACTGTGTGCATCCATCACTAACTTCTGGTGATTTGGTTAGGCAGTGATGAGACTGGAACAACCATCGAGTCGTCACGCTGTCATAAAACTAATTCCTATTTCTAACTAGAGCTTGGCATATATTTTTAAAGTCCGATTCAAAATTATTTTATCTAAATTAAATGCCACAGGGAAAATGTAAGCTGTTAAACTTATATTCGGCTATCTGAATGGGTCAAACGCTTAATGTTAGTGAATGTCTTCTGAAGGGTTTCATTAAAAGTTCATTTGTTCACGTAATATCTGAGTGCATTCATCCAGCACGCGTGAACGTGTTTAGCCATGCCCAGATCATTTTCTCCATGATCGTGTAAAAGAATGCTTTTATGTGCGGTCGCAATCGTTAATTGTACAGCTGTGTATTGTTACAGCAACATGCAGGACCTTTTAAATTTTTTTTTCTTTTGCGTGTATAGCAACTATGTAAATGCGAGCATGTAGAAGTTGCCCTCGGACTAAACTAACGAACAAATATTAAAACGTGATACGGTCGGTAATAAGTGATGCTATTAGGTCCGACTCTCTGACCGTGATATTGTAAAAAATGGGTCCCTATATTGGGAGAAACCCGCATTCCTGCCGAGGATTACCAGTACTCTGGTGCTTACCAGTCACGACCACCGACGCAATTCTGGTCAAATGCCGTGACCGCCGTGATTTCCACTCTTGCCATTAGTTTAAATGTGGATGCCACTACACGTGAAAGTAAGCCGTTTAAGTACGTCATCTGCAGCTTGGTTATTACATCATTGTAACGGGTCTGTGTATTGGAGAACTATTTATAGAACTCATTGTCATGGATAGGAAGTCGTCGTCTTCGTCTATGCTTTTAATTGCAGAGCATGCATTAAGGATCGCAAATTTCGATACTGACGAAGTGTACAGTTCTAAAAACGAGGTTAATTGTAATGTTAATTGTATTGGTGAAGGTTGTACTTCACCCTCAAAATCATAATGTACTTAAAAAATATTTATGAACAAAAGCGTCCTATTTTTTTAATACGTTAGTTCTACTGATGAATATGATTTTCGTGATGAGCGTGCTTGGACGTGTGGAAAATGTAATAAAACGACTAGCATTTGAGGGTTTAAAATTTACAGAATTGAAGAATTTTGTATGTTTTTGTCCCAAGCATCGTGTAGATGCCCAATTCGAGCAAAAATGTTATTCACAATTGCACATTTCAAAATACATAATTATAAGGTTGGATTGTACCGAGGTATTAATCCAGCCTTTTTCTCATTTTATTCAAGATTTTTAGCAGACATGAAAACTGTAGAAACAGTAACAAAATAAATATATATAAGATTTATGCACTTTGAAGATTGACCTCCTATATCAGGAGCACCTCCGAAACTCAATTAGAGGAATTATACACATGCAAAAAAAATTCCTACATGTAAACCACATGTTGTAAATAGATGTTAATGCACAATTACTCCACACTTGCCAAATTTTTTTTTTTGTCATTCACATTTGCCTCGGAAATGATGAGTTTGGTAATCCTCTCGCTTATAAACATTTCTCTTCCATTTATATATATATTAGAAATTAGTATGGAACGTTACTGCCGGTATGTACAAACTTCCATCACGGTCTCAATGAAAGCATATCACATATCGTTTTCTGGCTACCTCTGCCGTCTCCTGCTCCTCAGAGGAACATTCTGTGTTTCCATTCGGTACCCTGCAAAAGTACACAGTGAATGTAATTGTAGTGTAGGCCACACATTACTGTTTAGTGTTCATGTACATACATTATACATATTATACATACGTTATACGTATATACATGATATATATTATGTACATGTATGTACACCGTTTTACTGCATTCACTTATTTACTAACATCTTGCGGCAACCTACAATCGTTCATGTAATTGCGTACGGTAATACTAAACTTTCAGATCTTCCAGTCAGTAAGGTGATGGCTGTGATCAGAAGCAAGGATTTGGTTTTTGCTTAGAGGCAAGAGTCAACAGCACTATACTAGTCACGTCAGCTTCAAAAGAAGTGCACTTAAGCTGACACAGTATTCTCAAAGTATATACTCTGGCTATGCAAAAAGGTCCACAAGTTTTAATGTGCATATATATAGTTCAGAAGTGGATACAAGAATAACCTGTTCCAACTATGGACATTTCTAATCTATAGAAAAGATACCAAATACCTAATAATATAAATTTTCATTACCCATACTTGATAAACATGACAGAAAACATGACTTCAACAGTGCTAGCAATAGTAATGAATTTCATTTAGAAATGTTTCAATTCCTACAAGTGAAATCTATGCATTCACATCTAGCATAATGAACAGTTAGTTTCATAAGATGTCACACCAAGTTTACTGATAAGAAATCCAGAGACGTCATTATAATATTAAGACGTCCAGCATCATTAGAAACTGCTGTCACAAGACACTGCCGCAACGCCGAGTTTATCGACAGGAAATTGTGTCGCACCTCGCTCCTTGCACTGCTGAGTGCTGGGAAAGCCTGTCTCCCAGTAGTGGTCGGGCGTCGACGGCGGGGTGTAGCGTGCGCGATGCCGGCTACACACCTTCATCCTCTCCTTTCTCTCCTCCGCAGTGAGGTCCATCGCAGAATAGTACTAGCGAAACAGGTACGAACGACCATCATTAATCGACCTATATCCATCTAAGCAAGATAACTCCGACGTCCCTTTGGACATCGTTGCTAAGCCGGTCAGTGCGGTTACACTGTGTATACACGTTATTTACGCATGCACGCTAAACTCTCGACTTTGCAGCACTTCGGGAGTGAGCAGCGTTTTTAGAATGCCTTCATCATGATGTTAATTGGCTAGAGCTGCCTGTCAATCACTCGAGGAGGAGGAGGAAATTATTCTATCACGGATTACTAGTGCCATCTTCACAAGATTAGAAACAACTGTGATGTACTATAAACTAGAACATTTTCTGTAGCACACGTACTGTATTAAGCTCTCATAGCACTTGAAACCACAAACCTAACGTAATCACTTCCCAGATTGGTGAAAATATAACACATTATTTACATTAGTTATACAATTAACAGATAATTTGTGATTTTGGGTATGAAACCTTTCATGTATTGGAGCTTGTGCAATTTTAGTGATGCATTTTTAGCTCATCTGACATAGTCAGATGCAGCTTGTAGAATCGCATGATCGTCCGTGCGTCCGTCCGTGCGTCCGTCAACAGTTGGGCACAAATCTTAACCGCTCGACGTACGGTCACGATATTCGGGTCGTGGGGGGGTAATCCGAAAACGAGTTGGGATGTCGAAGCTGGGGGTCAAAGGTCAAAGGTCAAGAGGTGTAAAATAAGGGGGAACATTCACTCCTTAACTTAAGGTATAGGGAGGAAATGCAGAATTGCGGCACAAATCTAAACGGCTCGACCTAGGCTCGTGATAGTCGGTGTATAGCATCATGGTAGGAAAAGCCATCACTGTGCCGAAATTGGAGGTCACAGGTCAATGGGCACAGGGCAGATTTTAGACATTTTCTGAGGACATGGTCTGACGGAGCGATTGAAAAACTTTTTTGTTTCAGCGGTGACCTAGCATTTTTATGGCTTTATTGAAAGGACCATGAAATGTCCCTTCTGCTGACATGCGAAGAGTAAGTGTCGGATAACCTTTTGACCCTCAAGAGGAGGGTTAAACATGGATTTGTTGACTGTTAACAAAGGAGTGAACTGCTTTTGCTATTAGAGCCCTCTCCCCCCACCCTCCCCCTACCCTCCATCTGCGATAGTGGGCTTGTCCTAACAATGATGTGTACGCAACTGCGTGTCTGCATATCTGCGCCTAACAAATGTGGTACTACGCACGACTGAAATTTTACGTTTATAATCGTAGCAACAGACCTCAGATGAGCCCAGACGCTCTGCGGCTCTTGTTTATATAGGTTATAACACGACAAATCCAGTCGCTCACCTTTTCACACATTGCACAATCGTGCACATTTAGCTTCTGTCTCTCATCATGCTTCCGCACTACCTCCTTATACTTGTACGTGGGCAGGTCCTGGTTCTTGGGAACACTACAAGACAATTACCGGATATTCATTATCTGCCGTTAAGCTTGTCCGTTTTCCACTAGGTGGAATTATATACATACATGTTATTGTTATATTACAGACATGTAAGAATCTCACTGTGACATGTCACAGTCACAACTCTTGTATCGTCATCACTCATAATATTATCCTTATTGTATAATTAGTGAGCAAGTTTTATTGGTCTGCTACATTTTCAGTCAAAGCAAAATTTAAAAAAAGTGAATTTATTAACATACTAGTCAAAGCTGTCACTCAATTTATCCAAGATTTCGTTTCCGTTATCACATTTGTCGTCTTGCTGTTCAGCCTTTAGGATTGCCTCCAGTTCTGACACTGTTGCATGATATTCTGGTGTGATTACATTCGCAATGCTGGGTGCAGCACTGCAAGGCTGGTTGCCATGGTGAAGGCTGCTGCAGCTTGGCACAAAGGTCTCATCTGCATCCACATTGGCATGAGTCTGTAAAACATGACATAATAACCTAACACAGATGTTTTTGCTGACTTATTAAACCTTTACCGATGTATGTTGGACAATATTCAACTCAAATAATAATGAATAAAATATTACAACGTTAATGTATATCTGGTAAGATATAAATATCACACACGTGTGCACACAATACGATAGACTAGTTTTTACAATATAAAGTTAATAAACAAATTTAATACAATACATGAACACCATACATATTTTAGTTGTTTTTTCATCATACATGTTTTCAATGGTGCTACATACAATGTTAATACATTTTTCATTTTCTCCTGATGTTTTCATGTTGGTACTTCACTCAGAAATGGTGTGGTGTGCATTTATCTCACCTTGTTTCCTATAGCTGAGGACGTTTGAGGTGTTGAAGGGTTTCGGATTCTGGGCGATACCTTTTCCTTAGACTTCAGAGGCTTCTCTTCCTTGTCAATATCTGTAATTATAGTCAGTATTGTAAATAAACGTGAAAATCCAGCCAGCGCTGATATCGAAAATTTCGATTTCTACTATGTAAACAGACCTGCCAACCTGTGATTCATGAAAATAGTAAGGCTTTTCTTTTCTTGCAGCAGATGGCCATTTTGTTTGTATGTTATGCGCGCAATGAATGATGGGACTAACTCTAGATCACGCGAGAACAACGTGAACGCGTGATCCAATATGGCTGCGCCCACAATCGCCAGATATTTCTCGGCTCACAATGTAAAAAACATTAATTTTCACAAGTCGTAAAAATCGTAAGTTTTCCAGTTTGATCGTACATTCGTAGAAACATCATGGAATTCGTAAGGAATACGAAAAAATCGTAAGGGTTGGCAGGTCTGTGTAAAGGATAGTAAAATCCATAAAAATTAGCCAGCCGTTAGAAAGTCACCAGTCGCAGACTAGGGAACGGGCTGCTATTTTCAACATTATTATAGTGCATAACTATTATACGCAATTGTAATTTTACTAAGAGGAATGGATAGCCATGTAATATGTGGCTTCAATTCATCAGGTCCCGTCATCTATCACACCACTGGCAAATGTCTGTCTGTATAGGTTCATGCTGTTGGTGGCACCAAGATTTAAAATAATCTTTCGTAGAATCACAAGTGAGCGCGTTCTCACCTAGCATCGTTTCATCCATGGCACTCTGCAGTGACTCCATCACAGCCAGCTGTAGGTCTCTGCTCTCTTCTGCACTCAGCTCGTGGTTCCTCGCCATAGGCAACTGCTGGAACATATCTTGCGTTAGTGTCGTCTGCTTCATCTTCTTCTGCGACCCCCTGACCTTTCTCATCGGTCTGAAAGTTCTCACCCGTACATCCTCTACTCTCTGCAGGCCTGGAGAAGCGCTTCTATCTTGTGAAGCGTGCCTCTCCTCCAAGTCGCTGCGCTTACCGGTACGAATCCCCTTCCCAACTTCCGTCCCGTCGGAACAACAGTTCGTGTTCGCGCTCTCACAGTCAGAAAGATTCTTCTTCGACTGTTTCGGGCTGCGCTTTCTGAGAGACAGTCGGCTCAACCTGCTTGAAAGTGGTTTGGCGAAATTGTCGTCCTGCCCCGGCAGGCCGGACACACCCGCCCCGTCGCTCGCTGGGAGCGAGATTTCTAACTTAGGGCCAGCGACCAACAGCGAAGGTGAGGCCGTCTCATTCAACTTAGTAGCGTCGCACGCGGATGCGGCGACGACGTCGTCACCGTCCGACTCTTCGACGTTTCGACCGGGCGACGACAGCATGGACAGAAGAACGTGCATCGGCTTCTGAGACGTCGACTGGCAGTGCGGGGGCTCGCCATCCAGTGAGCCGCAGTCGACAAACAGACTCGGCGACGCGACGTTCTCTTGTCGATTTCGCGCTTCCTTAGTCGGGGTCACCCGTAGCACCTCGCGCGTCGCCGTAGCGCCGCGCCGCCCGCTGGCACTTTCACAACGAGTCGTGTCCGCCGCTGATGGCTCCTTGCCGGACCTCCCCTCTCCTTGCGTCCGTCCGGAACTTTCCGGAACGCCCCTCCCGCTTCCAAACACGGGAGAGAGCGGACGCTGCGAGAATCTGACGCTGTGCTGGACGACGCTGGCCGCGTCGGCGTCTGCCGCCGCGATCACGGTCGTGCTGAGCAACATGGCCGCCGGCAACATGGCCGCCTTCGACGCCGCGCCGCAACTCCCCGCGGGCGGCGACTGTCCGCCGTCCTCGGGGGACGCGAACAGATGCTCGGGGCTTGCCAGGGGGCGCTTCGCTGCCGGGGTGCTCGAATGGAACGGGGTATCCCGCCGCTTGCCCGCCGGCAAGGTGTCGGCGTCTGCGATTTCTCCTTCCGCGTCGCGCGCGCCTCGCCGATCCACGGCCCTTGCCTCATGCCTGCCTGCCGCCGTGCTCTCCCCACGCGTGTCCGGTTTATTCGCATTCGATCGCGATCCAGTAGGTGCAGCGCTGGTTGGTTGCGCAGGTTTCGCGCAGGATGTATGTTCGACGGCCTGCGTGGATGCTGTGCCGACCTCCCGCTCGGTGCCGTGGGGTAGCATGGTTTCTTCATTGTCGTTGCCTTGCTGCACTATATTTTCTCCTTCGTCCTCCTTGCCGGACCTCCCCTCTCCTTGCGTCCGTCCGGAACTTTCCGGAACGCCACGCCACGCCACGCAACGCCATTCTTCGATGTCGTATTCGGGGCTACATGGTAAATCTACGTCTGCAATAAAAGAACAGAGATTAAAATTTACCGTTTTGTATTATAAACCGTACATGGGATCACAAGAAAATGATGTGTGTACTGTACACATAACCCAAAATATACATATTTTTTTAAATAGAGGTATATTGAAACCCTTTGTGTGATCTGACAGCTAATTCGCAATTAAATTTATTGAACTGAAGTACACATTGACTACATATTGAATACATATTCACACGCATACATGCACATTATGTACTCTATCTATGTGGCCGTTTGCTCCTGTGGAGGAGTGAAAGGCTACATAGATTGGGCTAACACACTGAGCTTTATACTCACCAAGCGTTTCAGGAATAACATTTATATAGGCGGCGCCACCTAAGTCCATGACATCATTTATTGGACGGTTGCTCAAATTCCTGTTATTGCCCGATTCGCCTTGTTTAGCTAAAGTTCTATCACCTGTAGAGACGGTCTGTTTATCTTCCTTACACAAAGATTCGGTGTGAATGCTCTGTTCACCTCTAGAGGGAACCCTGACTTCGTCACAAATGAAGCCTTGCGGCATCAATCGCTCACATCGAGGCTGCAATGTCGCTGCCTGCAAATTCTTCTCTAGACTCTGGTCCCCGTGAAATCTGTCTCTATCATACCCAGCTCTAACACCATCCCTGCCAATCTGCACATCTTCTTCTACATTGGAAGTCGAAACCTTGGTTCGTTTGCTACACTTTGAGTGATCATCACACTGTCGCAGTCTCTTGGGGAGAGAACTTCTTTGACAAGATGCTGAAGAGAGACTGCCATTTGAATATTCATGGGAACCATTTGAGATTTCAACACTATGCTTAACATGATCCTGGATGGCTGTGTTTGCACCGTTGCCTGCCGTACTGTTGGCTGTCATGTTTTTCTGAGCTGCAGACAAGTAACATACCACATTAAATTAATCAAATGCAAATAAACAATGGAAAGAATAGAGTTGACGGAGTACATTTAAGCATTTGACTGTACATAGAGACGCTCGCACACACACATGCACATATGATCTAGTTATATCTATCAATTTCATAACATACATTCATGAATCTACAATAGTCTAAATTCTAAAACATACAAATTTATTGATAGATGAGATAATTTAAATAGAACCCAATCTGAGTGCATACTGAAGAACTTAACTCAAAAGTTAGCACCGTCACTCAGATTATTATAGAACAAACTTATTCAAACACTTAATTTGTACCACAATGTGAAACCAGCCTAAAATATATACCATATATATATCAGTATATATATACCTATATACTTATAGATATACTTGCATGTTAATTTACACATTGTACTAACTTGTCTGTGAGACATCTATGGCAGTTGTTCGTGGCCGACTGGGGGACTGTGACTGATGACACCTGGAGCACACATGCTGGTTTCGAACTAAAGCTTTGTTCTCCTTTTGAAGCCTGTCTATATGGTCATGCAACGCTGCAAAAATTAACTCGATGATTAAGCAGTCTTTTCCGCATAACCCTGCAGCAGACCGTCACAGGGAAACAGTCACACTATGACTCGCAGATTGTCAGATAGAGCCAACCATCCAGCTGCATGACAATTTTTTGTGAAATGGATTTTAATTGGTTTTAATTGCACTGCTGACAGGTATGCATAATTATCTGATCACACCTGCGTCAGTAGAGCATTGCTATAACAATAATGATGTACATCATGGTGGTACTCCCAGTAGTATATAACTCAACCAGGCTGCGAGACTAAAGCACGCCACACACGCCGTGGAACTTGCTGCTCCACTTTCCGCAGCAAGTTCTACAGCGTGTGCGGATGTAAATCCCTCGATCTGAGTCATGTGGAAAATATCACACGTTTGATATTTCCTTCCATGTGTGGAAGTTTGAACACCGTGTGCAGTGTGTGTGTGTGTGTATGTAACTGTAAATGTGCTCAGCCAGTCTATGTAGCCCACACTCACAAGTACTTGGAGCGATTCAATAAAATATAATACTAAATAAATACGAAATCTATTTACTACCAGTCTTAATGTTTCTCTACTCTCTTTCACCTATTATTGCCGACAGTTTCCTGTAAATGCCGTCCAATCTGCAACACACGCTGGCCGCCGCACGCTAGCTGCTGCACACTGATACATAAATATATAGTTATAAAATATAAATAAAATATATATGTGTCAGTG